AGCATTCCCGGCAAAGACAAGGGAAAGTGGCATAGCCCTTTCTGGCTTACTAGTAGCCGTCGTTATTCAGTCATACCCAACCCCAAGTTGTGCATCACCCTAGGCACGAACTCGTGACTGACTGATCAGAAGTCTAACACCCTAACCACTGAGCTCCGTGCTCGTTGTCTTGTCGTTATAGATCGTGAAACATTGGCTTTCGTTAATGAATATGCAGCGGCTGGTAGCCATCGAGACTGACTCCCGAGGCAGAGCGGGACGAATGAGTTCTGTTATTAGCCCGTGAACGTTCATCAAAGAGTATCAATCGCTCCCGATATAAACCTGAGGGCCAACGAACTCATAGCTCAGCAGTTAGAAGGTTAGACTTCTGATCAATCGGTCGCAAGTTCGCGTCTGGGTTGATTTAAGACTTGGCGTTGTGTATGACTGGCTGACGATGGCCAATAGTAAACCAGAAATAGCCATTCCAGTCTCCCTTGTCGTTACTGCAATGTTGTCCACCAGGGCTACTAGGCGCAGTGTGACTGCTGGTGGGGCAATCAATTGTAAAAAGACTCAAAATGCATTTACTGTGGTCTGCTTTTAAACCGCATCTTCTGCACTTTGCGACACTTTTATATGTTGGGACCACTTTCTTAGAGAATCCCAGTTTCAGGGTCTACAGTGCCCAGTTCAATGCAAATTTGTGGCCGAAAACGAATTTCAGACGTATGACCATGACTGACAGTCATTAATGAAAACTGGATAAAACAAATGTCCTTCCTCTGCTAAAATCTGCACTCCCTCACGGAGTCAAGCTACTGATTTTTGGGGCATAATAATAGGCCAGTGAAAAGGGATAAGCGTCTGGTTTGATATTTCAGGATACCAAACACCGCGGTCAGATTGAGGCACCTAGAAAAGTGAGTACGTTTTTACATACCCGCTTGTCTGGGTAAAGGTGAAAAAGGGTAGAGTTCGAGTTTTATTCCCGCAAATATGGTTGATACTGAACACTGAGTCGATCCCGACAAAGCCTTTCAGGTTGTTTACAGAACACCAGCTGACTCCTCTAACAGCCTACATAAACGGATGCTAGCAACAGCCGATGCAGTGCCTATAGGGCTGGCAAATCCAGTGCTGTACTGTCAGAAGACGCTAATACAGGCGCTTTTTCTCTTCCGTGGCCAACACCAAATTCAGATTGTGCTCACATTTTGGCTCCACTCCGTGGTGACAGTTTTGATTTCGCTGCACTTGGCCTACAAACCTCGCTCACAGGCTACCTTACTTTGCC